TATTTTGTGATAGAGGATTAATTAATGGGAGAATTCTGTTTGGACCAGAAACAGGCCGAAGATTTTTGTTTGGATGTTCAGAAAAGGAAAAGAGTCCAAAGATGTTAAGTAATGGGCTGGAGACATGGACAAGATATTATCCTTACGCGTTCCTTTTGGGATGTCTATTTAGCCACAGCATATAGCCCATTATCCTTTGTATTGGAGTTGGTACTAATGTCTAATGACATTTTTTTTTCTAATTTTTTTGAAGATATGTTGCTGGAAGGTGTCGTTTTAACTTTTGTGTTCGCATATCTCAAACCTAGAAAATGGAAAAATCAGTCCTGTTACTTCTGTACTGCCTCTAAGTTTCTAAAGTCTTGTAAGGATTGGACAGTCTCAACTGTTTCAGTAACATCTTCAATAATTTGTAGGAGATACTTAACAGGTGGAGTCTCTGCTCCCACTTAAAAGAAGCCTACCGTCTGCAGACCAGTTGAATGGAAAAATGGATTGTAAGCAACAAAACAATTAAAAGGAGGCATGGAGAACTTGGAAATAGCTCAAAACTGATTTGATAAACAGTCCCAATATGGCCACAAAATGCAGCAACAAATTTTACCACTCCAAAATTTGACTGTTTATCAAAAGAGGCACCCGCAATCCATTGCGTGTTGGGTGAGAAATAAGCATGGTTTACAAGCTACAACAAACCAAAACACATTATAGAGTTTGCATTTCTATGCAGAAGAAAATAACAGCAGAAATATGTAACATAACTTCTGACAGCGTTCTTGATAAGGGATTAAAACGGAGACAAATCATAGTTGTACTCTAACAAACAAGGGCTACCACCAACATGGATCGCAATAAGACAAAAATGTAGCAGTCATACTTTTTACCTGTTAATGACCCGTCATACGTGTCTTGGGTTGCTTGCTGACAGAGGGGTCCTAAAGATCATATCCTGGAACCAATCTTTCAAGGGCATCGCCTTTCATTTTGTTGTGACTTTCCAGAGCAACCTATATTTGATAAATGCAAAGGAAATACAATTACTCATACAGAAGAAAGTATGAGGGCCTTGAACTCTATGAAGGAAGCCTTAAAAGAATATTAGAAAAGAATCAAAAAAAGCAGGAAGCCTATTGGACTGTAGTTAAATATGTAACAGTACCTCAATTGAAACTACATATTATGTAGCAACCCTGAGTAGTAAAAAATCAATGACTACACAGTACAAAAAATTTGAATAGTGCTAACAACCCAGTTTAGATAAAATTCAAGGTAAAGCAAAAACAACCACAAAGGCAATTGGAATTTTCACATGTTTATTATATTCAGCAGCACCAACGGTTGGGCAACAAAGATAAGAAAAAGAATCCCTCAAATCCAACTTGTACATAATCTTTTTCACCTTAGGAAGCGGTTTTGACAGAATAGCCACAGTTGGGCACAAGTATTAGGGGTAACAGAAGTATAAGAGTAATTGACTGAGATAAGTAACTAATGGAAATAACCAACAACACCCAACAGCAAGCTACCTTTCTCATTTCCTCTGGAGATGAATATTGTTTCCCTGTATGATCAAAAGTGGACCAAATAGCCAATTTAATAAGAAAGTTCACAACAACAAACCTCTTAAAGCAAGCATTCTTCAAAGGACAGAATCATTCTATAACCCAAAGGTGAAACTTTAAATGGGCTAAAAAAAAAACACAAATTGGCTGTGCACCACAAAGATGATTGCAAAGATCTCTAAATATGCAAGAGACTACAAACAACACCAGCAACTAAAGAGGCACAGTTATGGATAGAAAAATAAAATCTGGCTGACCACATGAATAATTGTGCAAAAGTGCAATAAGTGAAAAAAAATATAAACAACATTTGGGCGACACCGTAAAGGATGTAAATGGTGTTACCTTCAATTCACAAATTAGCTACCCCTGAGTAGTTTCCCAAACTTTAATAGTACAATACTGGGAGCTGCAGCCAGCTCACCAGAAGATTTAAGAAATAAATGGGTAAATTTTGAAAGCAGAAACTGTCAAGTCAAAATCCTATGGGCAAACAGAACTACAGAAGCCCTCTCCTTATGAAGGATCAAGTTTCATAAAAGCAAACTCAAATAAAATGCATACCCTTTATGTATTACTCTGTCACCACCCCATTTCACGCAAGTTACTGCAAGAATGTGTCCACTAAGACAAATAACACATCTCCTTAAAGAAATGTCCAATAGACGAGCATAACCATCTTTGCTAGCACTTACAGAGCGACAGAAAGGAGCATTCAGATGAACTGGTTCCCAAGACATACCAGTATATTCTATGTCTCAGAGGTTAAATGGTGAGACTACTAACTGAAACAAAGAAAAATATTCTATTGCTTTTAGCATGCCCCAAGTGCAATACAAAGAACCCAATTCTTGTGTCCTGAATAAAATTTAAAGGTCCTTAGATCCATGATTAATAAGGGACAGGAAGGAATACAAAGAAAAATTATCCACTAAAATTTCAACAACAGCATGTCCTTCATCTTATTTAGTTTGCATAATTCTATTTCTTATTTGTTTGTTCCTTGCCTGCACATCTTCATAGTGTTTAGGACAGGCTAAGAACGCAGAGAAATCCTTCCTACCAGTTCATGTGAACATTAGTGTCTGAGTATTTAGGTCCCACAGTCGGACAGTGGTATCACCAAAACCACTCGCTAAATGTCGCCCTCAGGACTAAAGGCAATAGGAAGTATAGCTTCTATATGACCTGCGGACCCCAGAAATTATAGATATTGAAGAGAGCCAATTGAATAATTAAAGAATCATGCTAGTAACTAGTTTATATAACATGGTGAATCGACATGAAGAAGCAAACAGTTCTCGTTATCAGGTCTTCTACTATCCAAAAGAAAATACTCAAACCAGAAATTTGACAGAAAAACAATTAACCGGACAAATGCGGAAAACAGCCTGCAGTTGATAAACTATTGAGAGTACCTTCCACAGACATTGAAAATTGATCGTTCTTGAAATTACACATCCAATGACGCATTGTACTCAATAAATTTATCAGAGAACAAATTAATGGAAGCAGGAATAACATAGTTTGGTCTATTGGGCTTTTGTTTTTCTCAAGTAAGTTCCAAGTGACAGGCACAACCAGCTCCTTGTCTGATATATAGAAGGCACAAGGCAACTTCTCCCCCTAAGGAAGCCCAAAATGCAAAATTTTGAAGTTAATTAATGAGCTTTCCTATTTTCATCCCATCCCAAACTCCCTATTAATTCAGCAAACATTACAAAAGTTTAAGTTTTGAAAAGGATAATAATTAACCAATCAACAGCTTCAAAATGCAACCCGGAACTTCTCAAAAATTGAAATCACTTCTTAATAGCTAAACATTGCTGAGCTTAAAATAGGAAATCAGGCGGTAATTAATATCGGGAAAATTGAAAATTTTTCATGGACACAGGATTAGCTGTAGCAGAGACATTGCAATAAAGCAACATGGAAACAAACATTCAGGTGAAGAATCCCAAAATCCATGAGAAAAATTACATTTTTAAGAAGCGTATTGACGATCTATTGACGACATCGGGGGGCCAACGTCCTGTGGAAGGGTACAAGCCTACAAGGTGCTGCCTAATAGTGTCCCCTCTGGATCTGACATTCTTCCTCGT